ATACAAAATTTACCTATAACTTATCAAACGTACACCAGTGTATTTGCCAAATTTTTCATTGGCACACACTGGCTAAATCATCAAGGTGTGACAGCCCCTTTAAGTGTACCTTACCTTACCTTACACAGCCTGGAGTTATTTTGTACACAGTGATACATACACAAAACTATTTAATCAACAGCATTATTAGGCCTATTTATTATATATATTGTACAGTTGAAACATAACCTTCACAATTTCCTCCAATCACAGTTTGTACAGTTCTCCATTAGTGCTGGATATGAGTTCATTCTCCTGAGCTCAACCTGTCTGATCTCTCTGTTGTTTGCCGCCTCCTGTTTCTTGAACTCATATGCAAATTAAATTTATTAACTGCACGTCGCTGTGTTGCCATGGCGATGCTCATCACGCCCCAGCGCCAGACGTTTGATATTGTGTTTATCGGCACCACAGTTGGTTCTAATCTGCCTGCGGTCGCCTCATTTTTTCAATTGCACAGCTTGCTCCAGCACTCGGCCCATCTAATAATACAGCGTTTGGCATGGGCTTAGGTAATACGGGATAATTCTGTACCCGAGCAGACTTGAAAACGACCCACAGTGAGAATTTGGACCAGCAGCCAAGTCGTTGTTCATTTTAAGCCAAGAAGTAAGATACAAAAGTGGGGTAGCACACATTGTTCCCATGTGGAGATTGCAAAGTGAATCGTTAAGATTGTATGCTACACAAAATGGGAGTCTTATGAGCTTTAAGGCATGTTATAATGTTGTTGCTTCATTAAAACATGTCTGGAGTTGTGTTTTGTTTCATTCACACATGTTTGAGCTTTGGTTTATTATCTCCAAAGCTCAAAATGTTCAGTTTCACCTTGTGATGTCATGAAGTCATAGTATAGGCCTATACTTTATAGCAGAGGTAGCAAACTCAAATACACAGAGGGTCAAAATTAAAAACTGAACTATATATTTATTGAAAAATTCAAATCAACATGCTCAACTCTGCATGTTTTCTCTTCTTTCGAGATATGTAATGTTAAACTTTTTCTTATTAAAATAAATGTTTAATAATAGTTTTGCTTAAACATTGAATCCAGAACAAGCATAATATAAAATAATAACACAATTTAAAATAAATCTGTAGCTTTTGAACTCCTTTTAAATGTTATTTTTTGTCACAAGCCAACAACCAGTCAAAAATAACAACTTGCTTTAATGAAAATCCAACTACTTCAACTATGAACAGTCAAAAATCAAAGAAAACATTCATCCAAGCTCAGTTTGCTAGACTGTGTTTTACTCTGATGCACATGGGTCCAAACAGATGTAAATACTTGGCATCTCTTCTTAGATAGAAGTTCATCAAAGTAGTATTAGTAGTAGTAGTATTAGTGGTGCTTGAGCCATACTGGAGTGGCAGCTGGCAGGCCAGCTCTAATACATATTTGATATGAGCTCGCAGGCCAAATATAATTATATTGCAGGCCAAATTTGGCTCCCGGGCCTGAGTCTGACATGTCTGCTTTAAAGGGCCAATATTACGTTATTTTTTATATATATGTTATGCCGTTTCATCATCAAAAACATACCTGGAGTTTTTATGGCCACAAACTGGAGTTGTGTTTTGTTTCATTCACACACGTTTAACACACACACCCTGTAGTTACTGTAGTTCTTTTCTCAAACACAAAACACTCTGTTCCACCTTGTGATGTCATGTGGTAAAACAGGAAGTGCTTCACTGTGTTTTCAAACTATATACACCTTCATAAATCCTTTGTATGATTTCAGCCTTGAAATAGCCAATCACTACTAAACAAAAGATAAAAGGTAGCTGTTAACGTCACAACCACTACATGACATCACAAGGTGGAACAGAGCATTTTGAGTTTTGGAAATGCAAGACAGAGAGATAATAATAAAGTTTACTCAAACATGTGTGAATGAAACAAATCACAACTCCAGGCAAGAAGATTCAAACATGGCTTAAATCTCACAACATAGAACTTTTAAGTTTTTAAGACAGTAAAAATCAGATACGGCGCCTTTAACTTCACAGAGGCAGACTCGGGGGAGGACTGAGGAGAGAATTCGCTGGATAAATATTGACTTGAGTGAAATAAGTTGGTTCCCCCAACATAAAAGGAATGTAGACAGTGTCATCAACATCCAAGACCTCCAACAGCCCTCCATCGACGCTAACCAGAGCAGCCGCACAGTAGTTCTAACAAACCAGGACTCAGCATTAATATGGATGAGCCCTTTGAGATAGAGCCCTGGTAACAATAGTATAAATAATGAAGAGTGCCACTGTACTCACTGTTTGGTGGTCACATTGGAAATTCAGCGGAGGTACAAATTGGGTTATAATGATCCGAGGTGAATGGAGAGGTGGTGGTAGACAGGATGCACTATGCGAGGGCTTCACTGGGCAAAATAAAGTAAGAAAAAATAGTATACAGTTCAAGTGCGCTTCAAGAGTAAGAAAAAAAAATTGAATAAGCAAAACAAAAATCTACGAAAACAACAATGTACACACTATCCCCTACTTCATGCACTATTTAGGGGTTATGCCCTTTTTAGTAGTGTCCGAATTTCCAGTAAGGGGAAAAGTAGTGCACTCAAAATTTCCAACAATGCAACTTTAAAAGATGAAAACAATGATGATTATTAGAGCATTATTTTTACATTTATTTAAACAAGAGGTCCCATTGAGATTCAGAATCTCTTTTTCACGAGAGACCCGGCTGATGCAGCAGCCAACACAATCAATTAAAAAAACAGTACAATCACAAAATTTCGCATTATACAATTTGTAGCCCAGTGTAATTTGGGTGAAGTACTTTGCATCACAATGGGGGTGTTCTGTATTTAGTTACCATGGTGGTAGTGTGACCAGATGTCCCTGTTTACCCGACAGTTCCAATTTTGAGCCCTGTGTCCCCTGTCCCTGCAGATTTATCCAAAACCATTGATTTGTCCCAGTTTTATACAAGAAATATCCCAGGTGTCCCTATTTTGACCAGTTTGTTCCCTGCCAACAGTAAAAAGAGGCATACATTGTTATCTGTTTAGGTAAAATACAGAAAAGCTGCTTAAAAATGACCAAAACACAAAGAAAATGTGACTATAAAGACTCACATTAGGGCCGAGTACTTAATAATTTTCCTTAATGATGCACTCGTTTCACAATTTTATTATTACCAACCCAAACTAGGGACGTCCCAGTTTTTTATTTTGAAAATCTGGTCACCCTACATGGAGACACAATGCACACATTAGCAAACACTGCCAAAAGGATTGTCTGAAAACTCAAGAAATAATACAAAATGGACTTCAATAGCACATTTTCAGCAGTACAAGTGTTCATGGTCTTGTTTAGGTGTTTGATTTTCAACTCAAATGTGAGAGGGACTAATTAAAAAAAACTCTTGGCTAATTCTAACTGGCTTCTGACTGTAATTTTTGGCATGTAAGAGACTTTTTTAACAGCCCAAATAATCTCACCTATTGTAGTTCCAACTAAATAAAGACCATCTTAAAGTCTAACTTGAGTAACAGAGCTTCAGATTGAGTAGTACCTCCAGTTACCATCACACCCCCAGAGAATATTGATGACATCAGCTGCAAAGTATCAACAGTATAAAGGACAAGATGTTAGAAAGATGATAGAACTTGAATAATTGGTTCATATTGTCATTCTTCCACTATTATTTTCATTATAGTTCATTTCATGTGACAAAGCGAAACCAAAGTAATTTTTTTGTTTTAAAATAGGAACTCATTTATTCAAACAATCAGTTTTCTGTGTGTTCTTGATTAACCGTTCATGACTGCAAACAATTTCAGTCTTTCAAAAACAGTCTTTAAACAACAATTTTTATTTAAGAAAAAAAAAAAAAAGTAATTTCATTTTGTAATTTGCAGTCCAAATGTGGTAGAGTTGACTTTTTAAGCAACACTGCCACCTACTGTTATCCAAGAAAAGAACATGAATGGAAGAGAAAGGTTAAATATTGTTGCAACTTGTATGAACATTTTTGTATCTAATATATTTTTTCCCAAGTCTCTGTCCATGGTGCTGAAAGCTCCAGCACAATATTGAATTTCAACATTGAGCTCCATTCATTTCATGTTTGTTTTTATGAGGATGTTACAGCTTTGCCTGGAATGGTCCATTAATGATATTCATGGATTTCAGAGTGAAGAGAAGTGAAGAGCATTGCCTTAACCATTTAAAACAAAATATGGTGAATATTTTGAATGGGAAAAGTCCTCAAATTATTATTATTATTATTATACATGACGGCTGGGGGTGTTCTACGTGTATTGGCTGAATGTTCAGTCATTACCATGGTAACACAATACCACATTAGCAAACACAGCCAATAAAGGTTTTAAGGTTGTGTGAACACTCAAGAAAAATATGAAGTGAAAAAAAAAACAAAAAAAAACAAAAAAAACTATTGGCTATTGTGAGCTGGTTTGTGACTGTAACTTTATGAGTGAGAGACTTGTTGTTGTAACTCCAACCAAGTCAGCTCTTTCTGCTCACATTAGGGGTGTGAAAAAATATCAAAATATCAATGTATCATATCGTTTAATGTGATGATACAGTATTGACGGGCTGCTGTATAAATATATCACCAAGAGTAGTTTTTGGAGTATTTTACCTCACAGCATTAGGATTCGTTTGCTCGATGGTGGGTGGGTACTTTTTATCATTCAACCAATCGCTGCTATTTGGTCGTGACCGCTAACGGGACTAACTGGTATATTAAGCTTTTCCCAAATTCCACATGAAGAAGGGCAATAACGTCTTTCAACTTGATAAAATCCGCCAAACATTCTCTTTGTTCTGGCTTTAAATCCTCAATCTCAGGAATTGTTGCTAACACAGAATGTATGGCTCTTCAAACTCGCACTTCGGGGTTTTTGCGAACCATCTAGTGTATTCCTGATTTCTGACCTAGTCGCTGGAGAGAAATGAAACTGAGCAGAGGCAATAGGTGGCGCCAGCCTGGCTAACAGTTTTATTGCTTGTTTAGACATTGCAGAAGAAGTGGTTTAACAAAGACTTTTAATATCACAACCATGTTTTAGCCTTTATTTTTATTGTACCGTATCGAATTGCTTTGAAATATATCATATCGAATTGAAAGCTCACTGTGTCGAAATATGTATGCATTATATGATTGTATTAAAATAAAACTCAGATTAAGTGTAAAGTGAGTAACAGAGCTTCTAACAGAGTAGTGCTTTCAGTTAGCTTCACACCCCCAGGGAATGTTGATAACATCAGCTGCAAAGTTTCAATAGTTTTGCCACAGTGCCAATGTTCCACAATATGGCATTAAACTTATGGAGACAAGCAGGTGACACAACCAGGCCACGTTAGAGGTCATATCTGTGGAGAGGCGACCCCCTCACAGTAAGAATGCATGTCTTTCAATGTATTTCTTTAACAGTTATAACACCTGTAATTGAATAAATGCAAAAGAGATACGTTTAATGCTATGACGTGGAACAATTCAAACCGAGCAGACCAAGAAAAGTTGCACAGAGCAGCTTTAAAATAAACAGAATGGACTGAGGCTGCTCTTGAATGATTTTAAGGCAACTTGGCATCAGAAAGCACTTGTACATTTGACTAAGTGGACTTTAATTTTCCATAGAGTGAACAAAGACACTCATTTACATCACAGATATCTCATTGTTCTGCTTAGAAGAGGCCAATACTGTATGAGAGCTTCCCAACATCTAACAATCAATCCATATGGGAAGTTACCAGAAGAGGACAGAGATGTAATCAGTATACTTGAGTTTAAAAGTAGAATCGATCAGATGATATTTTTTCTCTATTTCATGATTAAACATTTCATTTTGCTTTCTCTTCAGGATGTTGTCTAGTTTTGTAGTGCACGTCTGGTAGATTCCTCAGTTTTTCTGCAGCCTGAAACAAAAAAAAATTAAATCAATTAGACGACACTCATTTTTAGTCACATGGACCATAAAAATCTGGGAAATACAATGTGTTTTTTTCAGTGAAGCTTCTAATTTAAACTGACATGTGCTGTTGCTAAAGCTACAATACACATTCACATTTGTTTATTATTGTATTGTATTGTATGGACTTGGTTTGTGTGTGTGTGTGTTACTGTATATGTTAAATGGTCACATAATACTGTATATATAGATTTTCTGACTTCAATAAGTGCCCAAGGTTTTTTTACGTCAAGGAACCACTCACACACATTCACACACCAATGTACTCAGACACTGGGGGCTGGGAGGTATGTGTCTTGCCCAAGGACACAATAACAGTATGCAGCTGTGGTATCTTGGATCAAACTAAGTAAGATCTCCATCTGTTATGCTTGAGTCAGGAACGGGATTCGGACCACCAAAATTCCGATCAGAGACAGCGACTCAAAATGTGCTATTGTCCAATAAACTGCCCATGGCTTATTCAGTATTTTACCATAATTTCCAGACTATTGAGCACACCTCTCTGTCTCGCTCTTGCACCCCCCGTGGAGGCCTTAGCCTTGTAAAAAATCTATAGAGGGATTATCAGAATGCATCACTTTGCACTCTACTGCACATGTCTCCTGCACAAAAAGCTTCTGTCCTGTCTGTATCATGTCAGTGTCTTGTAGGATTTCAGCAGATTTTAGGCTCTCCTGGGGGGCGGGGCTAGGTGTATCAGATATGAGTGGATGTCCGGCTATTGAAGTTTGGGACGCTTCTTCTTGTCATTTAAACACTCACTTGCATTTAACGCATATCGGTCATTAAGACTTATCCCACTCACCAATATTCATTTAGTATCATAATTTATTTTACCACACGGCGATAAACTGTTTTAGTGCTGACAACAGCGCTGGCTAGTGTTGCAACTTCATGTTAACTGCACAGACAGCGGCGCTTTCTGCACTCAGGCTGTGCACGCATCTGGTGCTTTAATAAACAAATAATCCATCCATAAATTAGCCGCATCATTGTTTAAACCTCAAGTGTGAGAAAAAAGTAGTGGCTTAGAGTCGGGATATTATTGTATATATGCCATATCATTCTAATAAAAAACAAGCGCAATCAGAGATGGTAACCTGGTCCCCCATGAGGCATCGGTGGGGGCAGTTCATCACCACAGAAGTAGCTTATGAGGAGCCCAGTCCACATTACATGATCAGTGTGTTGTGTATCACCAGAAAAAGAAGAAATGGAAATAATTTTTGTTCCAATTAGAATTAATTAGTGATTATCTTGAAAACTATTAATATTTTATTTTATTTTATACAATGCATAGAATAATTTTTCTGAGATTTTGAGACACTCCCGTTGCTCTAGCTTGATCCTTCGCGGCGTTATGATAAAAAACGCATATTTGACCTTGGTTACCTTGACCTTCAGTTGACCTCAGTTATGTGTGTGCCAACTTGTCTGACGATTGGGTGAATATTTTAGGCCGCAGGTGCTTCAGAAATTGACCTTTCAATTGACCCGTGTGACCTCAAATGACCTCGGATCGTCACCAAACTTTTTTTTTGGCAGCATCGGGCATGGGGGCTTGACCCACGTACCAAATTTGGTGACAATCAGTCCATAAATGGCAGAATTATCACAGGTGGACAGACACACACACAGACACACACACACAGAGTGAATACAAAACCCATTCAACCCTTCGGGGACCAGGTAAAAGATCTTGTTTGCACAACCTTGACCAAAAAATTATAGAATGCCAAGTATATCAACTTTTGCTCTTAAAACTACACCCATTTTGAATTATCTGAGTGATTTAATTTCAATGAAAATGTTAAAAATGCATAATATAAATAACATTTTCACATGTCAATTAATTCAGTATCACCATTAACCAAGAAATTTAACCCAAACCAGTATAGGTGCCTCTCCAAACACAATCACACAGCTTTGTTTACTGCAGCTTTTACACTTTCTCTCCTTTTAATTAATGTCTCGGTATTGACTCTCTGTTCATAAAATACCCAGGTGTTATTGAACCAAACAGTGCAAAACAGTACCACCCGCAGTATATTTATCATTTGAACCATAAATCAGCCTGTGTGTGGAACAGCACCCGGTGTACCTGCTCTGGTGTGAGGTCTCTCTGCTCCAGGGCTAACATCTCGTATCCAACCATGAACTTCTTGACAGTAGCCGAGCGCAGTAGCGGAGGGTAGTAGTGCGCGTGGAGCTGCCAGTGAGAGCAGTCTTCTGTCAGGTGGGGGCCGGTCGGAGCTCCTGTGGAAAACATGAAGAAGTTATGGAACCTCTCTGTGAATGGAAAGGCAAAAGTAACATGTCTCGGGTTAAAGATTTAAGTTTAAAGGTCCTATATTAAGCTATTTTCTGATCTATGTTATAATGTTGTTTCCTCACACTCATACTGATACTATTCTTAGTAAAATCTTGAAATAAGTATTCCTTTCAAATTTTCAAATGAAGTGCAAAAGGGAAAACACATTACTTTTACCCAAACACAATACAAATTCTACATCCAGGTACATTTTTTAGATGCTCTGAAAATGTAATTTAAACACATTTTATGTTATTTGAGAGGGACTAGTCAAGTTAAACTGCATAAGTGAGCTCATGCCTTCACACTGTGTTAATACAAAGCTCAGATTGAAGTCTAACTTGAGTAACAGAGCTTCAGTCAGAGCAGTGCCTGCAGTCAGCTCCAGCCTCCCCAAGGAACGTTAAGGACATCAGTCGCAAAGTATAATTTCCAAATCCCAAACACCAACACGCCTATAGATTTGACATAATGCCATCCAATACCCAGCCATTGTAAACAGTCATTTGCATAGACAGCAAACAGCCTCCTCTCTTTACCCATCACAATGTGTTACTTAATTACACCAGTGCGGATGGGCCCCACAGGGCACTGCTAGCACGAGCCTGTTCCCCCTGATTTAAGAGCACATTTAACATTTAAGCGCCTTCTATCTGGGAGTCGTTTTCATTCTACTACAAGGTAATGAGGTGATTAGGGATTGTAGCACGCGTCCGGACAAATCACTTTTAAAAAACACAATGGAGGAAGAAAAGATCCCGAGGGGCGTATTATTCACAATTGGAGCTGTTCTGGAGGATAGGCGTTCTGACAATGGCGGCAGACGAGAGAGACGGAGAGGCTGGGAAAGTCGTCTTAAAGCGAGGTAATGGATGACGCTTATATACAAGTATGAAGGAGACATAATGGAGATGTAAAGAGAAAAGATAGGCTTAAACTGGGCTATTAGCGAGACTTGGTTTGTATGGAGTAGACATAAATTGTGCTACAGTTAGTCTGAAATAGTGGAAGTGAAAGAGGGGAATTAAATGATTAAAATAAGTTATAAAGTAGTCCATTTGGTGAAAAAAATAAATAAAAATCACGCACCACCAATCACTCAGTCAGTCACTGTCTTGCCTAAGGACACAACAGGAGTTTCCAGTCCCTCACTGTGACACCTGGTAACAAACTGGGCTTAACATCTGATTTGTATGATAATCAGAAAAATACAACCTCTTAACACAGAATACACAAACTGTCAGACAAGGAAAGCAGCAAGAAAGACAGCATTCAAATATTTTGTCAAAATATGTTTTTGTCACTTCCAGACGTATTGATACTGGAAGTAAATTTTCATAAGAAATTTGCTAGCAAATGTGGGAGAAAATTACAGTCATGTTGATTAATGTACATGGTTCCTGTCAAATAAATACAGAATTGATCACTACAATAAACCAGAAGCTCGGTTGTCATTACATAATAGAATAATTTAATCTATAAAATAAAATAAAAAGTAGAAAAACTAAACTTCCTGGTTTGGAACAAGACTAGGGATGTACTAATCCACCTTTTTCAGTTCTGATACCAATTCCGATACTATAGCTTTAAGTATCTGCTGATACCCGATATCATCCGATGCCAATGGAGAGACCAAAAACAGCATCTATTTCCTTTCAGCAAAAACAAAATAGACAAAACTGATCCAAACGTGCTATATAGTTGTAATTAATCTCTCAAGTAACTACTGAATAGTGGGCCAACTACAACCAGTAAATAAGTCTTATTACATCAAACTATATGTCCAACCACAATATCCCTGAACCGATACTTGGAAGCCAATATCTGATCCAACAAATTTTTCAGTATTGATGCGTTATCTGATACCAAAGTCAGATTGGTGCATCTCTAGACAGGACCAAACCAAGTCTACTTAGTCTTAGAACTAAACTGGACTCAAATCACGACAAAATCCTGAAATAGCACAAAGTTCCTTAGTTAGATTTTGGAACAGTTCTTTACTCCTAGTTCACTTTTCCTCATCTCGCATCCACTCTGCTGTCTCTCCTGATTCTATGCCTAGAATGTTTGCAACTTTTCTCTCTTTATTTTCATGTAGTTTTATCTAACTCCTAACTTCCCCTGTGTTTATCAGACTGCAACTTCCATGCTAAACCATTTTTAAACAGCACATCATGCGCACAGATGGCGGGCCAATGGAAGGTGTGCCAGGCTTTTCTGTTCTAAGACTTTGTGTACGTCCCAAATGAGATGATCTCTGAATATGCCATTAGAGTGTGATTATGAAGCATGCCATGGCTCACTCCAAAACAAACCAAAACTGAACCGACTTCAATTATCCTTTTAGTGTGTTTATTTACAGGTAACTACGCTTTTTGGTCTTGTTTTTCTCTTTTAAAATCATGGATGCTAATAATCCAACTGTTATCCAACTGTTGGCTATGTTCACAGGTGGATGTGTTTTAAAATGGAAAAAAGCTGGCAGAGTGTGAGGTGTAATAGTCTGTCCAACTATATTCATTACTTGGAGTCAGCTCCTTTGTTCACAGCGGGATCAGGTCTCTGGGCTCACATTTGTTCTTGCTTAAAGTTGTTACATTGAACAGACTATTTAAGCGTTTCAAGCTATTCCAGGAGAAAATACCATAGCACACCACCGACATAAAACGTGAAATTCCAAATGTTGTGATATCATGCATAATCACCCCAGTAACCATGGGAATTAACACGAAGAGAGCCTAGTGGTTCAGGAGCTCAGAAAATAGTTGGTCATAGTGATAGCTCAACTGGATGAGCAGATACAAGTTAATAAGAACTAAGACTGAAAACCCAGGAGAGACGGATCAACCAAAAAGACTTTGAGCTCAAGGAGGTTCAAAGGACTCAGCAAAATACAGAAGGCAAGCTGCAACATCACATCAGTGCTTACAAGGAGATCCACTATCTGTACAATACATGTGTGAGAGACAAACTCAACCTGAAACAGGAACAAGCAACCAGAGCTGAAAGAAAAACTGAACGTCAGAAATGCTACAAGGATTCTCCAAGATACACAAAGCAAGCTACAACATCAGATCACATAACAAGGAGATCCGGTATCTCTACAGTACATCTATGAGGAATGCAATAAACTTGAAGCAGGAACTTGCTAGTGCCTGTGGTGATGTTTCAGAGCTGACATGAAAACTGAACAACCAAGGGGAGACCAAAGAGCTACAAAAGACAGCACAGAGTCAGGTGCCTCTGGTCTCTGTCAGTGCACTTGAATGTGAACGTGCCTCCGCCATGAAGACAGAGAAGAAGAGAGAGAAGGAGTCCCAACCGACAAACACTGAAACTACAACCATCCAAGCAGCTCTGGATGCAGTGGTGAAAGAGAAAACAGTGCTCTCGGAGAAAGTGGAGGAGATCTGCAGTGAGCTGTACACCTCACAGTGTCAGATGTTGAGACTGATCGTACAAAAAAGAGCTCTGGAGGAACAGCAGAGGACAGAGCAGGACATCAGTCTGAACAAACTCAATGTGGAGGAGCAGTGGAGGGGGTCTTGACATCACGAACAATAAAGCACCTCCAAACACTGCCCTTAGCCTCAACAAATGAAAAACAAAACAAAAAAGGTGAGTGTTTTGAGTGTTTCATATTTATTTAAGAAAAACAAAAATAAACCAAAATAGGTTTTATTGTTTTAGATGGCAGTCGTGTAGATCACTGGGAGCATGTGCAGTCTAGAGTATCCAAACAATTGGATAATGGTACTTTATTTATTTCAGAAAAAAGGAGGTTAAACTGAACACATGTTCATGTTCAAATGACACACATAAAATGAATAGACAGGTGAGCAGCTTGTAACTGGACTCAAAACACGTATTTGAATAAGTAAACATTATCAAGTTGCATTCATTGTTCATGTTAGGTCATACTTAAGAAAAAACATATATATGGAGAGAGGGTGGGCAGCTTTTTTTCTCCCATACTATAACATTTATTATATTTAATATTGCAGCGATTTCTCATTGGCCCTATTTGAACTCTTCCTTACAGTTGTAAGATTCTGTGCAATTCTCAGCTCACAAGCCTACGTCACCCATGCTCCCACACGACAATTCTCCATGAATATAAAAAAACCATAATACAAAACTGCATGGCAACAAACCTGAGCCAATGTGCAGTAATTTCATTAATGAGATGCATGCTGTAGGTGTTCAGGTTAACTGATAACTTGATGGTACAAAGTATAGACTTGGAAGCCCCTTCTAAAAGAATAAAACTAACCTGAGATTAAAGTGAAAGTATAGCACAAGACATTTACCTGGAGGTAACCTTGGGCTCTCATTAGGCTTCAAAAATCCAAGATTTGATCACATAAAGATGGTCAGTGATAGCGTCTGCTCGTGGCCTCTGCAGTTTTGGAGATTTTAATCTACATTTACGGGATCAAAAGCCCTATACAGAATGTTTTCCAAAGCTGATGTGGTTAGTGAGGTACATAAGGTTGGCAGCCATTGTGTGGGACAGACGGATGATGCAATTACCTGCATTAGACAACATGAGAGCAGCTACGGAAACCCTGCAGAGACATACTCTACCAGTCAAACGTCTGGACACACTTTTTCATGTATTCTTCTTATTTACATTGTAGATTGTTAACGAAAACTATGAATGAACACATATGAAATATAGTAAACAAAGATAAACAAAAAAAAACTTGACTGGTGTTTCGAGTATTGTAATATGCAAGAAATCTACATACACTATTAGGCTAGAAAAAAAGGTTTTGTTTTAGAATGTATGATTCAGCTGGTAAATACTGCAAATGTCTTGATCGATGAAGAATTTTGAATTACTGAATTCACTGAATTGTTTGTGTCTACTCTAAAGACGTTTATGAGTAGTAAGCGGTGTAGTAGTAGATCTAGTAGTGGTAGTTGTAGAAGTAGTAAAACA